ACCTTCCGACATTTGAATGATCTGCAGCCATAGAACAAATATTCGCTTTAAGATTCGTACAAAATCTACGAATTAACTGAATTTATAAATGGCTTAATAAGCAAATAGTTCAAATAGTTTTAATTATATATATATATATATATATATATATATTATATTTTCATAATTAGATCAGGGAGGTGTGCCATAGACTTACCTCTAACTGGGGCACCCTGGGCAACGTATGCTCATACGGCAAAAAAGTCTATTAACTGGCAGTTGACTTCTGACTTCAAACTACCATGACCCCACTGTATTTCATATTCGACTCCTTTCACAGTACGCATCTTACCTTTTCTCTGCCTTTGTGTCTGTCTGTCTTTTTTACATCTTTGAATCATTCTTCTGTCCCCCTCTCCACTTTTTCGCACTTTGATGTTCCTCCTCCCCTCTGTGAAGCCCGAAGTCAGCTAATGGGATAATCATAAGTATCATAAAGCCCGCCATTTGAAATAAAGAAATAAATGTTTCCAGAGAACGTTACTTATTAACAGAATTTTCACTGGAACAGTACGCGGGGTTATATCCAAGACTTAATTTATAGTCCATCTGGATCAGAATGAATTCTATGAAATTCACCACTGAGACATTCAAGAAGTCTCCTGGGATTTTCTATTTTTTAGAAGTCACATTCGTAATCACATGATTTACTGTCAGTAGATATACGTTTCGATTTGAGTGATAACTGAATCCTATGGCTCCTTTATTAATTGGCAAACTTCGCAATTATTTATTTCATAAGCCTTTAAAATTTCTTAGTTTCCAGAAGATCAATTATTTAAAATGAATAAATATTATCTTAATGAAGAGTAGAAAAATAAAACTTAGTTGCGATACTGTATACAGAGTGTCAAATGCAGCCAACTGATTAAATATTCATTCTGATAGTTAATAAAGTTCGTTACGGTTTTTGTACAGATTAGTAATGTGATATTTCGGGTTGGGCTTATAAACACCTAACATTTGGCGCCTTCTCTATTATGCTTTTTTATTCAATTTTATTTATGCGCTAATTTTAAATCGTTGTACTTTCAAGAAAATATTTTCAAAGTGATATTTTTCTGTCATTTTTAACTTAAGTTATACTATTCAGAGTGCTTAAATGTCTGATTAATTAATTAATAATTGAACTCATCGTGAGGAATGTAAACCAGTTGATGTTATTGGGATTATTTTAAGGCCTTCAAGAAAGTCAAGCTAAACTAATGATCTGAGTTGTTTGATTTGCAATATTACAATTCAATGCGTGTTCCTTATGCCAAATTTTCCAAGCTATTGAGATCCAACTATCAATCCTGCTGTTTTGAAGACTCGCATTAATTAGAGCAAAAAAGAATTTTAGTTGGCCAAATTAAATACACATCCAGGAACTTTTTCTAAAGTAAAATTCTGGCTGAACTGTAGTAATTAGTTCACGCGCTCAATTTCAATGGGATATTAAGTGCATTACAAATGTAAATGCTGATTGAATGTACCAAATAGATCACGTGACTTCAAGCATTGTTGGATCAATATAATAAAAGTTCGCGAAAGCCCTATTTTTGCATATTCGGCAACAGGGAAAAAATTTTTTTGAAAATGGGGATTAGCTCAGAATATGAAAGCTCGACATCTATTCTTAGTGGGCGAAAAAATAAACAACGATATTCGCAAATCAATGATGACACTCAAAATCCCTCCTCTACTGCATTTTCCTCCAATTCAAATGCGAAAGAAAATAATGGCTCGCCAGATCGTTTAAAGAAGATGTTTCCTGAACGTCAGTCTCATAAGTTTCTTGCAGAGCAAAAAGTCAGTGATTGGTTGGTTAAAAATCAACCCTATAGTAATACTCTACCCAAAGATATGGCGGATATTCCTGAAAATCTTCTGTTACCGCCTGATAGTGATTTAAACTCGAAAATCAGTTCTACTTCAATTGCAAATACTCAATAACATTGGCCAATAGCTTCGTTAAAGAGAAATCTTAAGTCATTTATCTCTATAATTGCAGTTTACCAATTTAGTTCTGCAAATTTTGCTCAAGACGAAAAGGATGGTAAAACCTCTGGAACAAATCTATTTGATGCATTAACTGATTGAATTCTTGTGGCTTTTAGAATTTGATTTAATTCAATTTTATTTAATCTTATCTCATTTTCAAGCTTTTCAAATAACCTATGGTGTGAATAATATAACATTGTTCAAACCGATAACATCATTTTATCATATCGTTTATTCAAATACGCAAGACGTTTTTTGTGTTTGGGTCTCATATTTTTTGCTATTGCAAGTTCGCATTATTGGGGCTAAACTAGAGCAAAAGTAAGACTATTGTAAACAAATTTATACCAACACACCCTAGCCTCTTATTAAATCTTTGGCCACATTAATTAAACGATTATTTTTAATTTCAGAGCTAAAGCCCACAAAGTACTTCTAAATCATTCTAGATGAGTAATTTTGATCAATTCTTTTGCTGATTTCGTGTCAATTTGGTTAATACATCTTCTGCATGTTGTAACAAGAGAGCACTCTCCAGAGTTATAAAAAAAACTGAAGAAATTGCACCGTAAACCCGCGCGAATTGAGATATTTATCCCACTCTGCCTCGCAAAACTGCTACGTCAATCATGCTTTCTCGTTGCGAAGTGCAGGAAAATGTTTATTAACTATTAATTGCTATGCTAGGGCAAAAAAATACATTTATAACTTTTTTGTGTGGAAAAGTGTCTAAACTAAGAGAAATTTAGAGTGGTTCTGGTGGGGGGGGGGGGGGGGGTTCTGAGCAGGATGAAATAGCACCTCTGGCGTCTTATTTTATTTGACTGTAACTATTTTCCCCCTATTCAAGATTCAGGGCACGTCTCCTGTTTTTTGAGTGAGTTTAGAGTTGTGAAGTTCATGCTTCTCAAGCGATTGACGAATCGATCTTGAAATAGCTAAGTTATCGGCGTACCATAAGAGCACCTGTGGTATCAGCCTATCAGTGCTAACCTAATGAAGTGTGTTCCATGTATGAAAGTGGAGAACTCAATGCCTTCAGCATCTAAACTACCTAAACCCTCCATCCGAACTTCATTATGCATTCCTATTTGAACTTGACCCTTCTGTAAGTTATCGATCATTGAACCAGTTTCGTCGTTATGCTGAACAAATTTTAACTAGCAATAACTACCCATTCCATTGCATAGGAGAGGTAAAACTTTTGAGTTCATCTTAAATGAGCTCTAATGTGCTCAGTTAGGCCAACTCGTAAACTTCTTTATCTTCCTGAAAATGGCTTTGTTATTAGGTTAAAATTATCTGAAATTACTGGCCAATCATTTCATTAATTAGCCTTTCCACAAACACTTGACTTCACACTCTAGAATTCTTTCAGGCGATAGGGGGTCAAACCCTGAAATTTAAATGATCAAAATTTGTTTACGAAGTAGGAGACCACGCCTGGGAAGAGTAAAACACATGACATAAAACCGAAATGAAATTCAACAAGGTGCTTTGACGTCGTAGCTTTGAATTCTGTTTCTCCACGATTCCATTTGACGAGAGTATATCAAATTACTTAACTGTTCACTGTGCCCAAATACTTTCAAGTGATTAAAGGGAATGAGGTATTTGAAAAAAGGATATATTTTTACAACTCTTACTGCGATCCACAGAAGGCGTAAGAACTCGAGTGGAAGCTATCGACTCACACGCAAATCATACTCAAACTACAATAATCATAACCAAGTCTCTAATGAGTCTGCGTGAATCACCATTGCCATCTATAAGAGCTTAGTCAGTTATGTAAGTGATAAACATCTTTAGATAAACAATGCAGCTTAAGAAATGGAAAATTTTTAAAATAATCGGATTATAGCAAACAAAAAATAAGAATTTCACATTACTCTCATAATTTACGTTAATAATGAGACCTTGAGTAGCAATAGTGATAAGAGGATTAAAATGATTAATAAAAACTTTGAAATTAAATTGCGGAGAAATCGTGTTCATGCTAATTGAAAGAGATCAATTTTCTTGTCAAAAGCAACAAATGGTTAGATCCGATTTTGAATATCAGAGTCACTAATATCAGTGTAGACGTTAGCAATAATGTTGAGAAGATTTAAGTTTGAGGAACCATTTTGAAATCGTATTGATTCCTAAAAGAGCCGATTCATTTACTAATCCTAAACATTGTAGATTGCTCAGGAGATTTGAATTTTGGAACATATGGGAAGCATCTAACCGTAGGTAAGTAGTTTGAGACCCAAATTCATAAATAAAATAAAAGAAAGCTCTTGTTGTCTTCAAAATGATTTTGATTGCGATTTCTAATAACATTATTGCGCTGTTTTAGTATTGCCTGAATTGAGTTACTTTTCCGCGATAAAAACTGCTACAATCTCTATTTTCTGTTAAAGCCCAGTGTGGGTGGTTCCACTACATAATCACTTAAATACGGTCCATTGACAACAGGACAATTTTGAAGGCGATGTTTAAGAAACTCTAAATAAACTCCGCTTTGCTTCGCAATTTTCTATTTCAAAATCTCAATTAAAAATGCTTTTAATAACAAACAAGAAAATAATAAGTCAATTTTTTATTTTTTATTTATTTTATTCTTGAAAGGTGTTTATTACGTGCCAACAGTATCGTTAGTACATTCTCTCATTCGAAATTAGTGATTTTATTTAAATTTTTACTGATATGCATAAGTTTACCACGGTTTATGTGAGAAGTTGAGAATTATGTCGTAGGATAAGATCATTATCACCTTCTGTTGCTTCAGATGTCAAGAAATTCAAAGCGCTAGCTATATTTTCTGGAATAACAGAATCTCAACTAGTAGGACTTCACTTGCCAATTCCAATTTATCATGACAAGTTAACAGGCTCATCTCCCCCTATAAATGCAGTATAGAACTGGGTTGTGTGAGTTAGTTAATCACAGAATAGTTAAACTAAAAAGTCCACCTGAATTTACATATCCATTATAAAGAACTAGTTTAACTGCAGATCGTGAGAGGCAGGGAATATAATGCCCTCTCAAGGGTATTGGAACTGGTATTAACACGTGACTGCGGAGGTATAGGCATGCAGCTTGGTTGGTGTTTGTACCCCGACCTTGGATTCACCCCAATTAAATGTATTTCAACAGTTTAATAAGAAAATTTCAGTGGGTATAAATACTAAAGACATTAAATATGACGTTAACAAAGCACTAAAGTAGATACAGAAACAAATGGAAAGTAAATGGGACTTAGAAGAAACAGGGAGAAAGAGAGGGCCATGTTACAGAAGAGTCAAGTTTTCAGTGGGCCCGACTGAAAATACTTGACCACAGAATTTGACCAGTCGATGTTAGTGAAAAGAGGTCAGTGTGAATGTGTAGTGGAAAGGGGAAAAGTCAGGATCGGCAAGAAGCTCACCTCTCTGGGTAGCTATTTTAAGAATGGGGTGCGCGATAGACTCCCCTCCACGTGGTGCACCCTGGGCAACGTATGCTCATACGACAAAAGTCAATTAAATGGCAGTTGACTTCTGACTTCAAACTACCACCGGACTACTTCCACATTACTCACCTCACCTTTTTTCTACCTTCGTGTCTGTCGCTTTTACGTCATTGAAATACTGGTCTGTTCCTCGCCTCCCTCTTGACTTTTTTCACTTTGATGTTTCTTTCCCTCTGTGAAGCCTAAAGTCAACTAAAGGATTAATGATAACCATCAAAACACCTGCCATTTGATATAATAAATATTTTAAGAATTAGGAGAACTGCTAATTCATCGTTTTCAAAATTAATATTTCTTTTTCCACTCATAGTTGTTCACGTCAATTAAACTCTAAAATTCTTTCTTTTCTCTGCGTCATTGACATGAATTACTTACGAGTGTGATCAAAAATATTGCTATTGATTTAAAACGCAGCCAACTAATTTATTTAGGCGTAAATTTTCCTGACATTGAATGATTGCATTCGCGAATTTAACGAATGCCAATGACAAGTTTTTTATTCAACGCTTATAGGCTTTTTTGCTAAAAAATCGCTTTTGTGCCTAATTCATTTTCACATTTTAAGTGCAATTGTACTTAATGGCAGAGAGACATAAGTGGTTAGAAGCAAATACAAAATCTGAGTAAGACAGTCGAAAAATGGATATTTTTGAACATTTGAAGATCATACGTGGGCATGGTGTGACAGCACTATAAAAACAATTATCTTAAGTTTTGAATAAAATTTCAGATCATGTGCTTCTAATTTCCTAGTTTTCCATATACATCTCCTAAGATTTTTAAAGAAAGTTGTTCTTTCAACCACCCCTTTAGATTAATCTCCCTCTAGAATTAACAGCTTTAATCAGCTAGCTGTCAACTTCATACGGGGTCGGATAGTCGCTTAAACCAAATGTAACAAAAATTTACTTGCTCAATTAATAAAATTCATCATTTCAATTTTTCATCCACTTATTTATTTATATTAAATGGAAGGCTTTATAATGATTATCATTAGCTCTTTAGTTGACTTCTGGCTTCACAGTGGGGAAGAATATCAAAGTCACAAAAAAGTCGAAGGGGAGGAGGAACAGAAGAGTGTTTCACAGACGTAAAAGAGACTGACAAAAAGGTAGAGAAAAGGTAAGGTTAGGTGAATACTGTGGAAGTGGTCGAATATGACATACAGTGGGGTGATGGTAGTTTGAAGTCAGAAGTCAGCTGCCGGTGTATAGAGTTTTCTGTCTTATGAATGCCCAGGGAGCACCGCGTGGAGGTAAGTCTATCGCGCACCTCTTTATCCACTTATGATAAATGACAATCATTTACACTTTTAAACAATTTCATTTTCTTTTAATCTTTGCAGTACTTATTGCGTTGGATATTAAGAGGAAAGCCCCAAATCGAAAAAGTAAACTTCACGTCTCCTTTTGATACTAAAGAGACACTTCATCTGCTATTTTTATTTACAAACTTC